CTTATATAGGCTACCTGTTTTCTCCTTGGCTCCTGCTAGTAATTAATTTATTGGAATGTGGACGTGTATACTGTTCATCTGTGCATGTTTTGCACTGGAGTTCAACATTCCTGTGATCTTAATAAAGCAGGTAGCTTCTGGGACTTGTTCTCTGTGAGCACTGAAACAAAGACTATTTACTACCTACAGAAAATCCCCTATGAAATGAGTTACTAAATATCTGCTCTAATCCTAGAGGTGTACATCATGACAGTGCTGATGGAAGAGGGACAAACCTAATGCCTTTCCATCAGCAGAGGTCAAAATACACCGTTAGCATTTGAGTTCTCTAGATGTGCCAGAGTGTGGACATAACTGGAATGGGAGATTATATTACTGAACCAGTGCAAAAACAAGGAATGTTTTTTTTGGAGTGGAGCAAATGGTGGGATGGGAAGATAACTTTGAGGAATGACTGCCTGCCAGCAGTTAATTTAAGATCTAGCATTTGACACAGCCCAGCTGAGAAGAAAGGATAGGAGGCAAAGGAGAAAAGCAAAGAAAGACAATGAGGGGGCAAGATTCAATGACCCAAAAAAAAAAAAAAAATAAAATCCCCAAAGCATGTACTCCCCCAGTTTCCTGTTTCCACTAAAAACATGGATTGTTTCCTTCTGTCTCATACTGGTGACAGATTGTGCAAAATGTATGTGGAGAGCTGGCTGGAACATAACTCACAGCCTGCCAAGGACCAAATGTGTAACAATTTCAAAATGACAGTAACACAGCCATTAAATATTTGATGAGGAAGTCTTTCAAGTCATAGATTTCAAATCGCCTTTTAAAGGGGGGGAAGTATTTTGTATTAATTTTACTCATTGAGAAATGTAAACAGAGTGAGAATTTGCTTATCCAAAGAGCTGCAGGCTGTTACAGACCAGAACTTAGAAGAGAGCCCTCTTTTATGAAACACTCAATGCTTGTGATTAAACTATCTGCAAATTATGTTTTACCCCCGTAATGCTGTCATGTGACCTCTTCATTTCAGTCTTCAGACTGGGGGGAAAGTAAGGTTCCTCACAGGAGAGTGTCTGGTGGCCTAATAAAGTCTTCCCCCCCTTCCCCATTTGTGGTGTTTGATCTGCACTGCTGTCTGACTGCTTATTTACCCAGCTTATTCCTAAGACACCATCCACATCAGGTTCTAGCAAAAATACATTCTTTGAACGCAGGGGGAATTGGGGTGGGTTCCATTCTACAAACTCCCACTGCTCTCATTGGGCTCAGCTACCTAATTAAAGATCAAGTCAACTTCCCAGTGTTGAGATTCAGGATGAAATCTACCACATGCAAGGATGATGAGCCTATCCAGCAAGGAAAATTAAAGATAAAAAGAGTCAAAGCTGCTGAAAGAAAGGAAGGCAAGGCCACCCAGCAAAGTGTATGAAAGGCACACTCTCGCTTGCTCTGTGTGAGCTGCATAGCGTTAAGAACTGATCACCAGCATACATTTCAAACTGGGAGAACCAGTTCTGATTATGCTTTTGTCAGCTCAGAGAATGAGAAAGATGTGGTATGAGCACTGGTCTGGATGCTGGAACTCATGAATTCCAGTCCCAGTTATGGCAAAAGATCACTGTGTGGGCAAGTCACTTAACCCCCCTGTGGTTCTCTTTTTTTTCTGAAGTGAAATAAGAATAGTATTTCCCACTCAGGAAAGTGGAGGAAGATTAACTAATGTTTGAAAAGCCAGTCTTGCAGTGGGAAGAAATGTTAAGTGTTTATTAATGATTGGCCTTTTATAGAAATTACTTCTTAGCACAGTGATATGGTAGATTAATAAAATGTGCTCTATCTGGAAAATAAGAGATTAGGGCAAATTCAGGAAGATTCAATCTATTGGAGAAACCATGAAGTTCTGACTTAGCCAAGTCTTACTGAAGCTAATGGTTCTTTTTCCTGACTAATTTCATGATGCCCCTTTTCCCCTGTAAAACTCTAATTTGCTTGGGGAATAGGAAAAATCTCTGCAGTTTCAACTCATTGCATTGCTCCAGACTTTTTCCATGATAGAACATAAATTTGAAAGGCAAAAATATCTGGACACCAAGAAAAAAGGCTGCTGAAAGCTGCAAGTCTTTGGTCCTACAAAGGATGTGTAAACAGAACCCGCTTGCCTCAGTTCTGGTTATAAACTCCTCCAAATTCCTTTTTAGGCAGGCAAGTCTCAGCTTGCTGCCACCCTTGAAGGGCATCTGAAAGGGTTTTGGCAGCGGGAAGGGCTCAGCTGCAGAATGACTACTGCCTTAGCTTATATGGCTACTTGCTAGTTTTCCCTGAGTTTGTACATTTTTTGCTGTAGAAGGGAAAGCCTGCAGACCCATCTGATCTCCTATGCCATCCTAAACTCTGCAGCTACAATCCATGCAGGATCCTGGAGGGAACGGAGGCAAGGCCACAGCATTGGACTTCCTGCAGGGAATGCAAGTTTCCTTTTAGCATTGAGGGGGTGAGATGCGTGAGACCTACATTCATGGGCATGGTGCTTTTGTCAGGTAACAAGAGCAGAGCTAGAATTGTGAGTATATTTTCAGGTAGAGCTGAATGAAGGAAATTCTGGCAGAATATCTAGAAATGTTTTTTTTTTTTTTTAAATTTAAAACTCCCCCTAGTAGGTAAATGGGACTGGGTTTTAGACCTGATGATTTTACAGCTGGGTTGGCATCAACACAGGAAGAAGCTGTGAAAGAGCAAGATAGAGTTGGACAGTATGTGTCACTCCACTATTGACTTGAAGTGCCTCACCCTTTCTTGGTACAGCACTGATCTCCCAATACTGCTCAGAAAATAAGCTTTTAAGCAGTATCAGGAATTCATAGCACAAGACTGATTCTTTAACTTTCATCTTCAAACACACACAAGTAAAGGGGATAGAGTAGGCTACGTGGTATGATACTCAGATAATCTGCTAGAAACATAAACCCTTCTGTTCTGAGAAATGCTGTAACATTTGCGTAAGTAGAGGGGTTTATCTTTCTGAAATAATATAAACAGGGAGCATTTTGTAGCTCTCTTCAGTTTGATGGTTACTTTTGTGTTACACTTTTTCTGCTCTTTGAAAAGTGCAGACAAAATCCTGCAGAGCTGTGGCTACCTTGTCGTTTGACTCTCTGTCAGCGTCCATCCCGCTGCTCGTCCTTTGCTCTGCAGGACTGCAGGGAAGGAGGAGTAGCTTCCTCTCCAGTTTGCATTAGAAGAGCACATTCAAAAGTACATTAGAAGAGGACATTCAAAAACTTAAAACGTTTGACTTAGGACACATCACATTTGGAAAAAACTTTTGTCCTGTTATGATGACTGTGTGGTGATCACCTTGCAGAAAGGAGAAAACTGGGATAAAAGTGTCTAGTATTCCACATCACTCATCTTATTCATATCATGGCTTTGTTTTACACATTTCTAATAAGGCAAAGTGTTTTCCTTGAGGGATTTTGCAAATCAGGTAGAAGAGATGAAGAATTAAATATGTTATCGTGCTAGGCTTTGATTTACAATTTTCTATCATCTGTTCCAGAATGTGGACCATCAGTTGGCTTTTTGTGAGTAGCAGCAGAAAAGTATAATGATGGAAGTTTTACTTTTCTGTAAATGAATAATTGAGGTGGGCCTCTTTTTTTTTTCTTTTGTGGGTTTGATTTGGTTTGGTTTTTTTGTTTGCTCTTGCTTTATGGAGCATTATGACATTCCCAGACTCAAGTGTCTGGGGAATGGGAAGTAAGTGTCTCTATACACTGCAGGACACAATTTCAGTATTGGGTTTAAGCAAAGTTTTTAGGAGTGTGTGATGACTTCCCCCTTTGAGATTTTTTCAAGGGTTCTAGAAACAAGACAGAGAACTAGACACTTCTGTGTTCTGTTCTTTCTTCTGGCACCACCTCCTTCATCTTCTTAAGAAAGCTATGCAGGACAGGCTACTGAGCATCACATTTATTCCTGTGTGAAATCCTTGAGGATAATAAAGCTAATAGAGTAACTGAAAATGGGGCTGGGACTAAAAATTTTCAGGAATAGCACTAAGCTTCTTTGCCTTTGTTTCCTAATCTTTTAAAATGACAATAATTATATTTGGTAGACAAAATAGCTCTATAAAAGAAAATGGACATTTGGAGACTGCTTTGAAGATGAAAAGAGTTAACTTTTAGAGACAATAACATGAATTAAAAACTTTATGGAAGCTGATAATTTATGTAATGAATCTTATGATGAAGCTTGTCCTTGCGGTGAGCTCCCTGTGTAAACGTAGACCTTTCATCACCCTGAATTGTTTGATCTTGTTCTTAATATCTGTTGAGTTAGTCCTAAAATAAACAGAAGTTCAGATGGAGGATTCTGTGTTACACATGGTAATATTTATTGTGATGCTGAATATGAAGTTTACCTAGGTGAATTACTATCACTAGTACATGTCCTTCTAGCAAGAAACTGTGGATGATTTCTGTCTCCTTGTCTGGACTAGGAATAAAGCTGCTTATTGCCCTTTTACAGAAAGCTGGTTTTTTTTCTTAAAAACAAATCAAAATAAAATAAACCAAACCTGTTTCCTTTTCTCAGAGTTCTGTAATAAAGAAATAATGTCCTTTCTTCTCAGTCCAGTTCCCATTGCTGTGCATTGTCGAGCACCAACATTGGAACTGGCATTCTATTGAATTTTATGTGCAATCTTCTCGGTAATCTTAGCAGAGAGGATTCAGGCTCTGTGAGCTGCAGAGACTGAATGTGCATTTGCCTGGGCCTGTGGGAAGAGCTGCACGGTGGGAAGAAAGCTTGTCTGGGGACCTGTGGCTGCAGGACTGCCACCTTTCACCAGCATCCATTGGAAGAGTTTTGGGCAGGCACATGGAGCGTGTGGTGCTGCTCTCGGGGGAGAAGGGAGCGTTGCTTGAGAGGATGCTGCCGTTGTTGCAGATCACACTGATGTTTCCATTCTCTCTTCCCCTCCCTCCTATCTCCTTTCTTCCCAGTCTGTGGCAAGCGTTACAAGAACAGGCCTGGGCTGAGCTACCACTACGCTCACACCCACCTCGCCAGCGAAGAGGGCGACGAAGCCCGAGAGCAGGAGACCCGCTCTTCCCCTGTCCACAGGAACGAAAACCACAAACGTGAGTAGCATTTCCCCTTTGCTTTGGAGATCCTTCTCAGGGGTGTTGCCACCACCCTGTCTTTGCCTTGCGGAGGCTGGCGTGATTGCCTGGCTCCATTGTGAGTGATTGGGACCTGGATGCTTGGAGCTAATCAGCCACAGCTCACACGGGTGCTGGCTCAGCTAGTCAGAAATTCATTTCAAACCCAGCATTATCTCTGCAGCAAGTCACTTTTCCATTACTGCTCCTGTGGGGAGGAGGTGGCAAGGAGAGGGGGGAAAAGAAGAGATGCCCAACCTGCCCATCATCAAGTAGCCTCCCAGTGGTGTTAGCAGGGGTGTCAAGGAAATACACATCCAGTGGTTTGAGGGAGCTGTCTTTGTTTTGCTTTTGAATAAGAGACATTCATCCATGTCTCAATTTTTTAGGTATGAAATTCACAGCACCTATCCCCTTTACCCCTGCATCTCCCCCCAAAATGACTTGCCCTCAACTTTACCAAAAGCTGCTTCTTACTTACAGTTTGGAAAAAAAATCAGCACTGATCTGCAAGGAGGAGAGCTAGAACATGAGAGAAAAATTAATGTGCCTGGATTCCCCATACTGGTACAGGGCTGAGAGAAATCTTAGTGGTCCAGGTAGCCTTATTTGACTGTTCTTCCTCTGCTTCTTAGGCACAGAACTGGGAGCCAAGGAGACTGTGTTTTATTACTGATTTTTGTAAGTCTCTAAGCCTGGGTTTCTCAGCTTTCCAGTGTGCAACACTATGTGATGTTTGCTTTCACCTTGGGATTTGTGTTGATAGCTTTGTTCACTTTCAAAAAGTCCTTTCAAATCACCATGTGAACTGTGTCATTTTAGTTCAATGCAATGAAAAATGTGGAGAAAGCAATAAAATGCTTATGGGGAAAAAAATCCAGGCAAACACTTTCTGATACATTAAGAAGAACTGGAAGAAATATGGAAGTAGGAAAACATTTTCTTTCTAAGCAGGATAATTGATAATAGTCCCCAGGGAGGTGTGGGAGGGGGTTTCCTTCCTCCAAAGCATCTGCTGCTAGCCACTGTCTGAGCTTGAAGGGCCGTTTAGTGTGATCCCATTTGGCAGTCCCTATGTTTCTGTCACTTTTATGCTCTACCTTTTAGTTATTCACATGTTTTGTAGGTTCACAGCAAAAGTAATTTTGACTCCTCCAGCTGTTGATAAACTTGAGCTGTCAATGCATTGAGAGCAACTGCTTGGGCAGGCTGGAGAATGTCAGTGTTCAACCAGTAGCTTTTGTTTACTTAGCATTTACATCATCTCTGTAGTCTTTTTTTTTTTTTTTTTAATCCTCTGCCCGCAGTAGTCAGTAATAGTTACACATTTGACAAGTATATTGCAAATCTGTAGTGAATTAATATTGATAATGGCCTCGCACAGGTGCCCAGAGAAGGATGGTGTCCCCTGCCCTTCAGCTTGTCATGGAGGCCAAAGACGGTCTCAGTCCTTATGTTTCTGGTGCTTAGGAAATGATAGAGATTAGGCAGAGCTAGAAAGGAGCAGCTGGCCTTAGCCCACGGAAGGAAAGATGTCCCCTACA